TGATTCACAGCGAGCAGACTACGTCAATTTCTTGGTACCATTTTCGATGTGCTTCTTTTTGTGCCCGAGACATAAAAATAAGATTCACGATAAAAGATTTTAGGCTCGAGAAATTTCCCAGTAAACCTCATCCCAAATTATTCCCAGTGTAGAATTTTCTGTTCCAGTTTTAAGATTATTAGTATTTCGCAAAAACTATTTCATTTCTTGTGAGGGATTCCGCCACTGCAAAACAGCACGGTACAGCTGTGTCCAAATGTGCAGCAGGTAACAATGCGGTAGTCCTAGCCAGGAAGGCGCTCCCATAAACTGGATGATAGCCGCTGCTTAAGTGGACAAAACTGAGGAGACGAAAAGGCATCATCGTTGTCCAGCGTCTAGAGAAACCCATAATCGGGTCCACTGGACGAAAATGAACGTTGTCCAGGTCACATGGTCAAAGCTTCGGCGATTCCGTGTGGTGATGCTGCCACCTCCACGTGGTGGGGGCAGGTAACTTCGTACTGTTGTATCAAGGTCTCGGGCAACGGGGCCCGTAGGCCGTCTTGAGGTCACTACGCACGGGCTCCGGGGAAAGGACAAAGGGGAAGGAGCAGGAGGGGGAGGGGGAATTGACAAGAGGTAGAGAAGAGAGTCCCTTTCCAATCCAGAATCATGCAAAAACTAGGAAGAGTTAATAGAGTTACTGCTACTTGGAGTTACTTTAATTTAGTCACTTCAAGCTTTATTACTTTAGTTATAGCTTTGGATTCGGACTTTTACATCACTGATGACTGTGCCGCTGGGGAGAGCGAAGGACTCATCGTCCCTCGCCCTCCTCCCCCTTTCCCTGGAATCGCCTGTGAAGAAAGCTGCAGTACTTGTCCACCAGTGTTCAGCGCAGTCTGAAACAAACACGCTTTGCGATTAAGTAGAAATTTCTGGGATTCCTAGTGCTGAAAATTACAAGAATTTGCAAATGAGCCACTACAGTGTTGTGTGCTTGCAACCAGACAAGGGCTAGAGTAAGGAGCGGTCGTTTTTTGCCTGCTTCGAGATGCCCACACCTCCACTGATTCCGGCCTCAGTTCCCAACCCGGAGAAACAAGTGATAGCTGAAATCAGCTAAAGGGAAGGGCTGCATTGCCTGTTGGTAAGCCAACAAAACTACTGCA